TAGATTATAGACTATAGATTATAGATTAAAGATTATAGATTATAGATTATAGATATAGATTATAGATATAGATTATAGATTATAGATTATAGATTATAGATTATAGATTATATATTATAGATAATAGATTATAGACTATAGATTAGAGATTATAGGTTATAGATTATATATTATAGATTATAGATTGTAGATTAAAGATTACAAGATATAGATTATAGATTATAGATTTAGATTATAGACTATAGATTATAGATTATAGATTATAGATTATATATTATATAATATATTATTGATTATAGATTATAGATTATAGATTATTGATTATAGATTATAGATTATAGATTATAGATTATAGATTATAGATTATAGATTATATATTATAGATTATAGATTATAGATTATAGAGTATAGATTATAGATTATAGATTATAGATTTTCGATAGATTATAGATTATAAATTATGGATTATATATTATAGATTATAGATTATATATTTTCGATAGATTATAGATTATAAATTATGGATTATATATTATAGACTTCCTCTTCTGTCCGAACATGAAAAAGTCACTAAGTGGTCAAATATTAGTGTCAAATAAGGCCTTTTTGGTAGACCTCTAAGAAATCTAAGTATTTGTCAAACGGGTTCAAGAAGTTGAAGCATTACCGGTTCAAGTGTATCGAACTAAAATGACAATATGTTGAGAATATATGGTAATTTTAACAAGCAGCACATTTTTGATTTTTAGGAAAACTACCTAGCGGACCTCCCTCATATGCTCCTCTCAAAAATTAAAACCACATGCTTCACACAACTTCCTACTGTAAAGTTTTCTCATTTAGTTGCCATCAAACGATGCAACAGAAGCCCCAATAAAACCAATAGAGAACATATGGGAAGTGAGCGCCACAGTGCTGAGATGACAGTGAAGAGTAATTAAACTGCCAATGAGATGAAAAGTCAATGCATCCGATGCAGCTGATATTTATTTACGTCACTTGAACTGTCTTACCTAGCAACCACTTTGAAACTTATTTTTCACCTAAAAGTAGACTAAAGCAAATAAGGTTCAATGGAGAAAGTAATTTACTGCACAGTAGTGCAGCATACTTTCGGGGTGAGTGGCCCGAGGCGCTTTGATTTATTAGAATGTGTGCTGATAATATATTTTAGTTAAAAAGATAAAAAAGGTGATATAAGAAAAAAGAAACTAAATGAGAAATAGCAAAGTTTTTATTAAAAATGTTTATTGGGTAAGTGAAAAGTACTAAAAAATAAGTTCAAACGCGCTCAGATGTATACTTTGTGTTTACTACTTGATCACTTCTTGCTTGAAAATTATTTTATTCTAAGTTTAATTTTTAATCACACAAGCCCTTTCTTTTAAGCTTGCTATCTCTTTTTATTAACCTTCCATTTTCCAATTGCAAACCAATTTCATTTTGGTTCGCAGCTCATTCGCACCTTTCGCCTTGTGTCGTATGTTTCTTAACGGAATTAAAAACGAAAAAATATAATAAAATTTCTAAACTGCTGCACAAACAAGATTTCAATTTTAGATAGCAATTGATAAGCGATTATTAGATGTCAATGCCATAACACCAACACTATCACCACTTGCTGGTATTTTATTTGCCCTGCGGCGCCTATAACTATGCAATACGCAAGCATTGAATATGAAAAGAGTTAGAAAGGCTATGATATGCATACACTCTATTTATAGATACAGTAGCGGTGCGAATAGTGGTGAATGCGTTAAGAAAATATATATTTTAGGAACCACAAATTTTATAAGAATATTTATAATAGAACAGCTAGAGTTTCAAAACGGATAATTCGGGCACCGATCGTTATATTCACTTCCGTTCACACCAATTTACTTTCCTTAAACATAAATAATAGAAAATGGTGCTGGAACTATCTCCGTCGTAGATTTTAGACACTTCATGGGATGAATAAAGGAAGTTCATGAGGAACATAACCATTGAATGTAGCACTAGCTACACAATTAAGATACCTCGTCTCTCAGAAATTGTGCTAATGACGATAAGACATTTCTAAATTGGAACCTCTCCAAATTAAAGATACAGATTCATTTCCAGCTTGTTGCAGGAACTTTACGAGATATTGAAATTCAAAGAGTATCCCTGAACTTCAACTCTCATATGGCAGTTTTGACCCAGACCAATCTCCAGATTAATTTAGTTTCCAATCCTAGAGTTAACATGCTCATCATATTATATTTTGTCAAGTTGAACTGTGTCTTAATTATGTGCGACAGTTCGTCGTAATTGGCTCAACTGATACGGTCACACTCTCAAGGGTTCCTCCAGATCAGCTCAATCAGTTGTCTATTATGTTTATGTCAATAGCATTTTAAGGGAATTAGCACGTTTTTTTATTGATTTGTTACTCGAAATTTCCTAAAATAGGAAAATGTGGATCGTTTACCATATATGATGGTTAAACGGTCAATGGCAAATTTTCAGTGGACAAAAAGCTGTACAAGTGCATCCAATGTTATATATGTAAGATTCTTAAACAGATTTTTAAACATTGAATTCTTTATTTAACATTGTTAGAATGATCTGATTTGGTTCAAATATGAATCGTTTTGTTCGATAACTTTTTGTCATTTTGAAAATAAATTTGCCACAGCAAAAAAAATTTCGACAGTCGAATTTCACAAACTTCTCTTGATGCGAACTTTTCACTAGCTAAATCCTAAAATGTCTTAGCGTTGTCCTGAGGAAACACTAATCCGTTTCTACTGGACAAAGCTGGTCACTTCTAAGCGATTGCTTCTTTCAGATGGTACAATTTGTTGACAGTACATATTCGAATGAAGTGATTGACCGTAGAGGAGTATCCTTAGGAGATGCTTATTTGGCCATTCCACCTAAAACATAGCAAAGCCTTCCTGACCATTAATCCTCGCTGGGACACCGTTTGCGCCGACTCATCGTGATTCTACCCCGGCTGTTTTCATTTGACGTTGCCATAAGTGAACCACTTTTCATCAGCAGTAACCATTCGCTTCAGAATTGATCGATTTGTTGCGATTGAAGACATTGACGGCGCTAGACATAACATTCTTATACATCAAAAGGATACAAACCTGCAAGCTACTAATATGGCACCTAGTACTCATAGTAAATAAAAATGGAGTCCCTGCACCAAAGTGACAACTTCCCGTTAACTTAGTGCTTAAAATTGTGGCCTACTTGTGAAACGAACGCTCATGCTAGCGTCGCGAAAATCACTTAAAATGTTAGCGCGTCGCAATTTCGAAATAGTCAAACTATATTAGACGATTCATATTTCTTTTTTTGGTTTTTAGAGTTTTATCGATTTATTTTTTTTAATAATTTTTCACATTTACAATATTAATGGCTCTTTTATATTTAATTTTACATTTAAAATATATTCTTGCTTTTAATATCATTTTATGCTCTGTGTTCACTGTTGTTTATATATATATATATATATATATATTTTTTTTTTTTTTTTATACAAAAGAAATTCGTAAATATATATAATGTACAAAATAAACTATATACTAGCAGAATTTTACAAGAACGAAGAAAAAAGAAAATGAATTGGAAGGCAAAGTTACGACTGTGTGCGTGCGTGTGCGGAGATTGAAGTTGTGATCCGCTATATTTAAGCGCTAGTTGCTGCTCTGAATTTACTTGTTGTATTTGCTTAAGCAATTTTTTATACCAAAGCGCTTGGCTTTATTCGAGTAATTTCACTTTGTTCGAGCATTCATTTAGGTTTTGAGATTCAAAGCGGTTTATGTGCAAATATTTCACATGAAATTCATTTTCGAAAATAAATTTTGAAATACTATTTTTGAAACACTAGTTTTTGCTGGTTTTCTTATAGTAAAATACGAAAATATTAAAATATCTTTATGCTTTAGCTTAAAAAATTAATATTAATTTTTTTGTTTTGCTTCAAAATTATTCAGTTTTTAAAATTATTATGCTTTTTTTTCAAAAATATTCAATTTTGACTTCTGTTTTGCAAAATATTTGAGTTCGAAAAAATTTTAGGAATTTTTTTTTTAATATTAATCGACCTACACACATATAATATATGGTATATGGACAGCTTAGCTTTCACATTTAAAATTTCAAATTTTTTCATAATTATTTTTAACTTTTTTTTTTGAATTGCTAATTAAAGAGCAGTGCTTGTTGTATTTATGTATATATATAATTCCCATTTTTTAATGTTACCAAGTTGAATATATGCGTTTACTCACTATATATGTTTACATTTTATATTTTTTTGTTTTTGTAAATAGTTTAATGTCATCTTTTCTGTTCCTGTTCACTAGTTTCATAACTGTAAATATGTATTTTCCATATATTTAACTATGTAGGCATTTTTGAAAAATTTCTTTCGATTTTACGATCACAAAACTGGCACTTGTTACATGATTTTCCTCTTTTTTACGCAAAATTTCAGAATATCCTTTAGGTTGCGCGCTCTTCAACACTCAAGCTTCGCAACATTCTAAGTATTTAAGCGCGTTCTTAACAAATTTTACTTGAGCTTGATATTTCTGTGTAAACTTGTATATAACTTTGTTATTTATAGTGCTTGCTTGTAAGTAGCGGTCATTCTTCTTAAATATATACGATAATATTTTCTTCATTTTCTTTCTTCTGCTTAATTAAAAACTGCCACATATTACAAATTATATAACTAAACTTCTAACGGCTTCTATCCAATGCTCGTACCACCAACTTGTTCGCTCCGCGCTCCTTCCTGCTTGCCGACGTATAAAAAATAAATTGCTTACGCTCCGCTCTACTTGCCGATGTGGAGCTTGCCGAGCAGATTGGCAGCCTGATTACCGGCTGACTCCTGTGCGTTCACAGCGCCATCATGGAGGGTCTGTAAGAGTATACGTTTTATAAGTTTTGTATCACTAAGCTCAAGGCGCATTTCTTCATACCTTCTCCAAATCCTCGCGCTTATGACTGACAAATTGGTTGGCTTCGTTCATCTTCTGGTCGACCGTTTGGCTGGTCTGCTTTACAGCGCCATCGATAGCTTGCTCGGCTTCCTTCATTTTCGTTTCGACTGTTTGTTCGGCAGCCTTGACACTCTTGTTGATCGCATCGTTAGCGGCCTTTTTGGTCTGATCGACGGCGTTGGCAGCAGCCTGAGAGAGGGAGAGAGAGAGAGATAGAGAGAAAATGTAGTGTTTTATTAAAACTGAAGTCGTAAATATTTTAACGTTTTTCAGTACTTATTTTTAGCCTTTGTTTTAAAGAAATTGTTCTGAATTATGTACTAAAAGTTAAGCCATATTTTTTGTACTAAAACCGTTTTTAACCGTGCTTAAAACTTAGACATTCAACTATTTTTGTAAAAACTGAGTACTAAAATCGAATATTACGAATTTAGTACTAGAAAATTTAGTGGCATAATTTTTATTACTAAAAAAGTGGTACGAACAAAATAGTACAATACAAAAATTCAAATATATGAAATTCAGTAATAGAAACGTTAATGAGTAAAGCTTTAGTACTTAAAAATTAATAAGTACAAAATTAGTACTAAAATATTAATAATAATAAAAATTAATTTAAATATATAGTTCCTAGAAAAGCAAGTAGCAAACATTTGAATACCAAAAAAATTTAGTACTAGAAATTCAATACTCTAGATATAGTACTAAAAAAATGAGAATTTGTTTTATTAAAAATATAGCAACACAAACTGTACTAAATATTAAATACTAAAAAAATGCTAAAAGTTTAAATATATTTACTCAAAAAACCCCACTTACCTTTTGTGAAGCCTCAGCCACGTTGGCGGCCACTTGCTTTGCATTTGCGGCCACAGCATTGGCTTGTTGCACAGTGTTATCGATGGCGTGTTTAGAGTTGTCAACGGCGGCCTGAGCTTGGCTTACGCCAGCATTAACGGCCTGGCCGGCCTTTTGAGCTTCAGCAGCGGCCAAATCGGCGGCTTCCTTGGCTATAAAAAAAGAATGGAATTAAAGGAATTTTCCAGATATTGCCTAAGGATAAAAAAGCTTTCGGAAGCTTAATTAGTTTTCAGAAACCGGTAAAAAGTATTAAAACCTCTTAAATGCCTTTGAATCTTCCTTTAGTCATCGTTTTCATGACTATTTTTTACAGACTTCTTCGTCATTAGTTGTACTACTCACCAGCACTAGCCGCCAAGTTCTCCGCTTCACTCTTGGTCTGTTGCACCGATTGTCCTACAGCCTTAGCCTGGTCCTCAGCCATTTTGGCAGCATTGTCAGCTTTCTCCTTGGCCAATTTCTCGACATCTTCCTTCTTACGACTGAAAAGGTTGGCGGTCTTGTCGCCCAAACTCTTGAGGGATGCTAAAAAGTTATAAAGGAAATAAATTTAAATTATATTTTTGTTTACAAAAATTTAAATCTAGTTTCTAATCTAATGGTTTATACAAGTATGCTTAGTTTTTTATTTTTAGGGGTACTAAAGCTCTTTAAATAGTGCAAGAATATGAACATTCGACGAATTTCAAAATCACTACTAAGAGTAATACGAGTATACTTAGAACTAGGAAAAAAAAATTTTAAATTCATAATTGTAAAAATTTACAGTTGCGCATTTTTTTGAAAATTATAGGCCAAATTATATTAACTCATTGTACTAAAATGTTTATAAAAATTAATACAAACTTTTTTAGTACTTTGAATACATAATTTCGTAGTTAGTACTAAAAATGTTTAACGCTCAGTCTTCCAGTACCTATAATGTTGCTCTTCTACAATAAAAGATATAAATTATAAAGAATAAGGTCGTCTACCTACAGTACTAGAAATTTGTACTAAATTTTTTTTATTAATTTTATTAAATTAATGACTAAATTTCCAAACATTTAAGGTTAAGTACTAAATTTTAGATTTTTTTGCATGTTTTACTGAATTTAAACTTTTTTTTTTTATAGCGACTTTGGAAGCCAGCCATCATTGTGCTAAAAAATTAACAAACAATAATTGAATATTCATAGTAAATTGCTGCTACTATATATTTGTACTAAAACTGTTTTCAAGATACTATTGAACCATACAAAACTCATTATTAATTTTAAATATATATAATGTTATTATCTGGAATTTTTGTACTAAAAAAATTAATATATATTTATAATATACTAAAATACTCACAAGTTATATTTCATGCAAAACATAAATGACGGTGATTGCAAATTAAAAAAATTTAGTACTAAAATTTAGTACTAAGAACTTTCAAATCTGTCTCTACAATTATTAAAATAAACAATTACTTAATTATCTAAATTATTTGGCAATGCTGGATGTTTGTAACAAACATATGTATGTACTAAAAATAGCGTTAAACTTTTTTTTTGAGAAAAGCATTAGAAACACAAAACAATATTTGAAAATTATTTACTTAAAACAAATTAATCGCTGCGCTTTCTTCTTCTCAATACAATACAGAAAAGAATGAAGAAAATTGTACTAAAAATAGCATAAATTCCAAGACAAAACGAAATATATATTTTTAGTAATGAACGCTCATACAAACCACAAATTTTTCTACAAACATCTCATATATACTTCATCCAACTTTTAGTACTCCAGATATTTCATATAAACCTAAACTTACTACTAAAATGTGTATATAAAAAAATTTTTTAGAACATGCGTACTAAAAATTTTAGGAAGTGAAATTTCGAATTTCAAAACTAAGTTCAGAAACACCGAATGCAAATGACAAGCAAAAACCAATAAAAAATGCGAAAAAATTTTAGTAAATTTGTACTAAAAAATGTATAAAGTGAATTTGGGAATCTTAAAGCTAACTTCAGAAGCACCGAACGCAAATGACAAGCAAAAATCAATAAAATATATGAAAACATTACTTTTTGGTAATATTTCTAGGGTATTTAACATATTGAAAGTATTATCCCCATTAATTATATGCTCATCGAAGCCTTCTTATTATCGCAGCGTTCTCATGTCCGGTTTTATTTGTTATTTATTTGAGCACATAATTTATATTTATTTTCGCCGCGCTAGTGGTCTTTTGAGCATTTTTTCTATCAGTTTAAGCATTTTTTAATCTTATAACTATTATCCTTCAATAACGGCATTGAGTCATCACTTAGAAAAATGTTGTGCGCACGCTCAGTAGTGACGTTGCTAGAAAATTATACACTCGACCTTCTGTACTTTTTTATGCTCACTCGCTAGAGTTAAAAATCGATAATTGAGAAAGGCAAGGCGATCAACAGTTTGCGTGAAAAATATAGGCACTAAAATTAATTTCTATATTTTTTTCTTTTCTTTTATATGTTCAAAGTTAATAATTTTTTAGTATAATAAAATTATTAGTTTATTTTGTATTTATACAAATTCAAATAATTTAATATTTTTTTGTTTTTAATTTATATAAAATTTTTTTCAATTTAAGTGCAATTTAAAAATATAAAAATGAATATTTTTTATTTTTATAATATTTTATGTTTTAATGTTTAAATATTTTTTCTATAATTCATTTTTAATATTTGTTCATTTAGAATTAAAAAAAAAGGTTGAATTAAAAACTTCACTGTTTTCTAATTTTTTTCCCAACTTTTTTGTTTTTACGCTTTTATAACATTTTTATTACCCGTACAACCGCTGAAAGCCATTTTTCACTACTTTGACGTATTCTTTACAGCAATAAATCACAAAACTTCGTCACTATATAGTATAAAATATAATACAGTTATGTATGGAGAATTTCACGGAATTCCTTTAACGTCCTCAATGACCGAACCAACTTCGATAGCGGTTAAACGCGAACTAAATCGTTGCTTTCTAACTTGATTTGCCACAACAATGGGGAAACAAGGCGAAACTTGATTCTAAATGCTTACTTAGTTACTACATGCTATGCTGTGGCTACCACAACGACGCAAAGGTGGAGCGCGGTTAAATTACAATTTTTTTGTTACTTTTATATATATTTTTTTTTCGCTACTTTTATATGTGTTTTCAATATACATATGTACATAATATGTTTGTCTATTATATGAAACGGCGATTTAGCGCACCAATGAGACGGACGATGCGCGCTGGAGCATGAGAGATTGACTTAATTAGCTAAGAAATGTGGCGACGACACAGACGCACGAACACAACGCGTTGCATTAAAGGAGACGACAGGTTATCTTTGGGCGAACAATTAAGTAAATAACAGGCAATGTCAAGAGTCGTGTAATAAGTCAAATAATTCATAAAAAAAATATAAACTTAAAACTTATCTAAAATCGAAATCAGAAAATAATTACTTTTAAAATTAGTATTTTATAAAAAAAAAGCTTAATGTTGTTGTAAGCAACAAAGTTAGGTAATTTGTATTTGAATTTCCGCTTGAGTAATGAACAAACCGTAATGCGATATGAAATGCAAAAAAAATCTGTTTTTTTTTCTACTTGAAGTAATAAAAAACAAATAAAAAAAACAAAACACGTCATATTATAATTCATTCGATAAATTTTTATATAATTTTGAATTGACAAATGTAAAAATGTATACTATTAAAAAAAAATATTTAAACTAAAAAAAATTAAAAAAATGTATAATAATAATTAAAACAACTTATTTTTTAAATAAATGTTTAAAATAATTTTTAATATAAAAAATTTTAATATAAGTTCAAATTTAAACTCACTAAAAATTAATAAGTTTTAAAAATTAATTTAAAAAATTAATAAGTTTAAAAAGTTAATTTCACAAACTAATAACATTTAAAAATGTATTTAAAAAATTAATAACTTTTAAAAATTACATAATAATAAAAAAAATATAGTTATAATTAAAAAATATATTTTTAAAAATAATTTTTAATATATAAACACATTTAAATATAATTTCAAAATTAAATTCATTATAAATTAATAAATTTTAAAAATTAATTTTTGTATAATTAAAAACAATTACAGCTAAATAAAGTTTAAAAAATAATTTCTTATTAATTAACTTTTATTATGAAAAAATAAAAAAAAAATAATTTTTTTAATTCTTATAAGAAGTATAATTAACAAATTATTAATATAAAAAAATATTAATAATTCAAAAATTTAATTAGTTATAAATTATTAATTTTAAAAAATAACTATTGATATAAAAAAAAATTATTAAAATTGTATTTAAGTTTTTTTAATTAAAATGCATTTCGAAAAACAAATTATTGCATAAATTTAATTTAAAAATTTATTTTAAAAATTTAAAAATTTATTTTAAAAATTAAATTTAAATATATATTTAAACAATTAAGTTTAAAAGTCATATAATTATATAAAATATTAAAAAATATGTTTTAAAAATTTAATTTAAAGTTAATTTAATTTTTGTTACTTAATAAAATTTATTTTTTTTTTCAACTTTGAGAGCGTAAATTTATGTATATACTTTTAAGTCCGAGGGCAAGAAATTTGTATAAAATATGTTGTAAATACATAATATAAGAATAACTTTCAACATGGCGTATGAGAAGCTTTTTTTGTAAATTCCTGAAACGTAAAAACTTGTTGTATTTACAGTGATCTTCGAGAAAATGAAAATGTGTTTGTATTTCTAAGAAGGATTATTTTGATATTATTTATTTATTATAATGAATATCTCTAAGATATGACTCTAACACATTCATCTTTAAAAATGCGAACTACACACTATTTCTTTATTAAAATTTTATAGTTTACATATTATCATATATGGTCGAAAACTGCTTTGAAAAAAATTTCCTCTGAAGTAAATTCCTTCGGTCTAAACTTTTCAACTGATTTTCAGAGCAAAACTCTCTTGAGAATGCTGCAAAAGGACAATATAGTTGCTCTCTTACACAATAGCTCTCCTGTACAGTGAATGTGAAAAGTATGAGAGAAAAATGAGCCTAGTATTATAAACTGTGTTCGATTCACCATTTCTCTTAACGATATTTTTGCTGGCTTTATCGAAAGTATACTACAAGGCTTTGAGCACATTTAAGAATGGGTTTATCATTGTGAATGACTCACAAGAAAAATTACTTTCAAAATTTTATTATTTGATTTTTTATTAATTTTCAAAACTTTAAGCTAAAGAAATAATATTTTTTATAGAAATATAAAAAATTACCCTCGGGGGCTACGAATTTTGGTTACACCGAAAAAATTATGTCTGCAGCAAAAGAGAAGACTTGCAACTTTATACCAGATTTTATAGTTCCAGTTTTAATATTGCTTATGTTGGTTACTTAGAATGGTATAAATCAGTATAAGACTCCCAACTTTATACCAGACTTTTTATGTTGTATAACCGGTTGCTATTACCGTTATATTTTTTATGCTAATAAATCAAAGTGCTAT